CTATGATAATGTCTGTTACAGCTGTTGAAGAAACCAGACAGCTCTTTATGGAGCAACCCAGAGCATCCTGCAGGTTCCTGAGTGACACTGGGGAGAGTTTTCATTATGTCGTGTGTCTTCTCCCCGCTACCCCACCAAGGCCCTGTTGTGGACTCAAGTGATCCTCCTGCTGAAGCTTCCTGGGTAGCTGGGATCATAGGCCTGTGCCACCAAGCCCAACTCTAGACTGGAGACATTAAAAAATGATTTGCATTTGTGTCTCTTTGTTAAGCAAATGCATGTGTGTCACCCATCTAAATAAGAGAATAGTTAAAAGGATAATTGTTCTCAGCTGGGCTCTGCTGGGCTGCCATTGCAGGGAACGAGGTTTCTATTCCTGTTTTCTTCCCTTTCCCCAGCCCGCAGCTGTGGGGCACGTACGTGTGGCCGAGTTGCAGAGGTAGCTCTGCTGAGGGTTGGGCTTTGGGTTTTAGAGCACTGACAGGCAGTCTGTCTACATCCAGTAACGCTTGCTTTTGATGGTTATTTAGTAGACTTTGTTCCATGGTTAGATTTTTATGCATTAAATTAGGCTTTTTAAGTTTTGTTTGTTTGTTTGTCTTTTTGAGACAGGGTCTCACTATACAGTTCAGGCTGGCCTTGAGCTCACTTTGTAGCCCAGGCTGCTCTCGGGCTCGCAGCTATCCTCAGCCTCCCCAGTGCTGGGATTCCAGGTGTGTGCCGCCATGCCCGCTGGCTTACTGTTGTAAACGTGAATCCCTTTTGCTTTTTGCCAGCGGGAAGTGTGGTGCACAGGTAAGGCTTTTGTGTTCGATGTTCTTTGTGGACAGAGTGCTCATAAGGTCCCTTCTGTTCTGTGGTAGGAAACTCAGAAACCTTGTGTGAGTGATTTCTGTCCAGGTGTCACTGTACACCCTTAGTTTGTAGGAGGCCAGGTAAATGTCTAGTCATTGTAAGAGGCACTGCTCTAATCTAAAAAAATAAATTTGTAGTGACATTTCATTTGAAGCATTTTGACAAACTCAACACGTGGCATGCAGAGACTACCCTCCGGTTTGTTGTACCCTTCACTGATGTGGGTAGCTGCGCTTTAAAAGATGGTATCTTGATTTTTGAGATTATAGGGCTCTACCGGGAGTTCATTGTGTGTGTCCGTTATCGGGCCCTAGATGGCATAGACCTGCATTCCGGGAGTACAGATACAAGCACATTTTATTCACGAGCAAACCATTTTATTTTAACACTGGTTGAAGCAAACCTGCCAACTTTGTATTTTTGTTTATTTTTCCTTTAACCTCTACCAACCCCCAGTTCCTTTCCTGCTGGGCCTACATTCCTAGGTCTTTGTCTCTGGCTGGTATTTTAGAAATTTTGGGAGAGGAAGGCAGTGGGTGGGACGTTGTGGAAGCTGGGGGCAGGGAAGAGGGTGGTCACTTGTGGGGTCAGAGGTCAAGCTTGCTCCATTTAGCTGGGGCAGCCAGATTGTCGCCAGGCCTGAGGGGGCGTGTCCATCCATCTGCCCCAAACAGCTTGGGAATTCCTGCCACCAGAGGACCTCTTCCCATCCTTTTCCCCCCAAGCCCATCCCCCTTTCAGAGGACAGTTCCTGGCTGCTGCCTCATTTCTGTATATGGGTCCATCTGCACAGTCCAGGTTATTCCTTTAAAATAATCTTCTTGGTGTTTCAAAGACAGTTGTACCCATACACATTCTTACCTACTGATTGTGTTCCAGTGACCCTAAAATTGTGGTTTTTTAGTCTTAGAAATTGCAAGGAGAAGGGAGGGGTTGGGGGAGAAACCTTCCAAAGCTCTTTTAAAAAGCCAGAAAACTTGACAAAAAATTGATCTCATTTTACAGTTTTTGAACTTTGCACTCTTTAAAAGATCATAATTATAAGCACCAGGGCCTGTTCTTTGACTCATTCATAGTTCTTTATTGTCAGTCCCTTGCCATCCCCACCTCACTGGTCATCCTGAAGCTACAGAATGTTTCTTCTGCAGCTAAGGTGTGTTTTGGATACTTACAGCTGTTTGGATCCAGCGTGGAATGATGCCAGGCTGGATTGCATTCATGGTCCGCTTTGACCCATTTTTGGGGTGTCTGGATTCTTTTTTTTCGTGTCTTTTTGAGACAGGGTCTCACTATGCAGTTCAGGCTGGCCTTGAGCTCACTTTGTAGCCCAGGCTGGTCTCGAACTTGAAACGATCCTTCTGCCGCAGCCTACTGAGTGCTGAGATTACAGATGCGTGCCAGCACATCTGGCTATTTCCTGGATGCTTGAGGCTGGGCACTGCCCCCTTTCCTGCCACTATCTGTGCTGAACAAGACTTTTTCTGGCCACTATAGTGCAGAATCTTGCCATTCATGGGGGACCTCCTTTGCTCAGCATTCTATAAGCACCACTTTAAGGTTAACAAAATTTCACAATATTTCTTGCAGTCTCACAACTGCATCCTGGAGCTGAGCTTCCTGGCCCAGTTATAGTTATTTGGAAGTGCTTTGGGTTCTGTTCTCAGGAAGGGAGAGTTCCTGGGATTTCACAATGGAAAGGGTATACCTAGGTAAACCTAGTCAGAGCCCATTCGCTTCTTCAGGCCAAAGGAAGTGACGACAGACAGTCCCACAGCCAGGTAGTGCCATGCTCAGGGTTAGCCGCATAAAGTTCTTCTCTGCTGTTTGGCTGCTGCTCTGTAAGCCATCTGGGAAGCAGGGAGGCTTTAGCCAGTCACACAGTCCCGAGAAGAGATGTAAATAAGATAATGCTTTCTCAAGTTATTTAGCTCTTTGGTGGAAAGAGGAAGACCACAGAGTGCTGAGAGGCCCATTTTATTCTAATTTAAAAGGAAGCTTCTGATGGAAGGTTTTCACACTTCACATTAGCATGGGAGTGATCTCTTTATTTCCATGACAAATGGAGCGAGCAAAGGGAAGGAATGCGGCTGAGGTTGTTGAAACTGGGAGAATTGCTTTAGTACCATATCATAAAAAGAAACTGTCCAAGAATTTTCTCTGGATTTATCCAGTTTAGCATCTCTTGGTTACCATTTAGACTTTGCTCAAGAATTTTTAACAGATTTGGAAGAGGAAGATCATCTCCAAGGGTTAGACCAGCTTAGAAAAGCAGTTGGCCTTGAAGAAAGCAAATTCTCCCCCCTGGTTTCAACCAGGTGGAAAAATACTACTGTGATCAAAATTAGTAGTGAAGCATACTGAGGATTTAGCTGCCACGCAGTGGTAGAATGCTTCCCAAAGATGCCTGTGGCTCTAATACAGTCTTTAAAGCCTGCTATGTCAGATCCATTTCTTTTATAATGTGCTAGCCAGGCATGGTGGCTCACGCCAGTAATCCCAGCTGGTCCGGAGGCTGAGGAGGAGGAGGAGGAGGAGGATTGCAAGCCTTGGGCTACTTTGTGCGATTCTGATTCAGTGAAAAGGACTGGAGATATATATATATATATAGTTGAGTGTGTTTACCTGACATTTGCAAGGCATCTGGTTCAGTCCTTAGTACTGCAAATGAAATCAGAATAAAAACACACAAACTAATAAAAACACAAAATAAGAACACACTCTGTTCATTCACAGGAGCCATTTGGGAGCATATTCACTAATGGTCATGTTTCATGCTAAGGTTTTGGTTGGTTAATAAAGTGAAGCAGCAGCATTTTCACTCTGTCCCAACTCCCCGCCCCTCTGTGTGGGTTTTTTACCGAATACTAGTTTTTGGCCCTGTGAACTACTACCTTCAGGCCACCCTCCCTGCCTGCCTCCCACAGCTCTGCCCTGCTTACCTGAAAGCTGACATCCTGGACCCCCATGGTTATTTAGTAGGGTGTTTTGCACTCTGGATGAGGTAGTCAACTACCATGCTCCGTGCCCATGTGTCTCTGAAGGCAGCTCTCCAGAAGGCTTAAATTGGCTTCCTGGGTGTCTTTGCCAATTGTGTGGCCATGGGCTTATCACCACTTTCTCATCATCTGGAGATTTTAAGTCAGCTATGGATGGAAAAGAATCCCCCCCTCACTCCATTTCCCTGCCTGTTGTGAGCCAGTTCCCCCTCACACCCAGGTGTGTGCAGGCAAATTGAAAGTGATCCAATAAACATTGACATACAGAGAGTGTCACTAGGGTCAGGGATATAGCTCAGCATCCTGAGTTCGATTCCTGGTACCCCCCCCCAAAAAAAAGAGTGGCACTAAGTGTGCTGTAGTTGAGAGATGTACAAGTAACTTGCCCAGCTTCTCTGCCACGGAATGTTGCCTCTTGGGAGCACCTTGTTTGCAGCAGGTGCAGGTTATGCCAACCCTTTCCTCTGCCTACCAGCCTGTCAGGCCCCAGAGAAGTGTCCAACATCACAGGAAGCTGTTCTGTCAGCTCTGGCAGCTTCCCTGCTTCAACTCCTTGGGACCTTGGCAGGCAGAAAAAAGGCAAGAAACGGGCTGACCTTACCACTAGCCATTTGCCTTCACGTAAGCTTGTTGCTTGCCTGGTAAAGTTTGGCACTGGTGTGCTGAGCTCCTGGGTAAAGCGTGTGATCTTTGCTCTTAACCTTATCCTATGCAAAATTGGCAGCTTTTGGTATATTTTATTCAGACCACCAATCCCAGACCAGAGCACATAATCTTATAGGATATAATCTTACAATTTTTCTGGGTAATTAAACAGATACAGGAAAATCTCTCATACCTGGAGGGTTTTTTCATTTTATTCCTGCTTTTGAAGTGTCTCATTCATGGTTCTCAGGGAAACTAGAGTGGGATGTGGCTGTCCGTTGGGTTCCCCTCTCTTCGTTTGTGGCACAGAGAATGGGAAGGAAGGGCAAATGGGTGTTGTAAGTTGTGTTTGCAGTTGCACAGTTGTGTTTGCAGTCCAGGGTTGCCTGTCTCTGTACGTGGCAGGTGCTTGTTTGTTGCAAGGGGGTTGTTTGAAGGTGCCTTGGTTGCTGCCGTCCACCAGTCTGCACCTCTCACTCATGGCTGTGCCTGTCTGTTCCCCAGGTGCTGCATCTGTACTGTGACACATGCTCCGTGCCCATCTGTCGTGAGTGCACCATGGGCCGGCATGGGGGCCACAGCTTCATCTACCTCCAAGAGGCGCTGCAGGACTCCAGGGCACTCACCATCCAGCTGCTGGCGGACGCACAGCAGGGTCGCCAGGCCATCCAGGTCAGCCCTTGCCACCCTTCACTGATGCCCGCCAAAACCTTTCCCTTTGCCTGTCCTACGAATGGTTGGGCAGGCTGCAGGGTTGAGGATGGGGAAATTTCAATAGTCACCAACAGGGAGCTCGAGACGTCAGCGCAGCAGTGATCACTGAAGGGCTCCCACCAGCCTTGGGAAGATGATAAGGACATGGCCCAGATTGCTAGTCAAATGTCTAAGCACCCAGCTCGGGCTCATAAATCACTTGCATTTGTACTATTCAGTCCCCTCCTGCTCCAGTCCAAGTGGACATTGGCATTTTCCAGGCAGACTGCAGAAAACCACATACTTACTGCTATTACACATTATTTATAGGTGAGAAATAAGTGGGCCCCAGGGAATTTTGTGTAGGGCTTATAGACTTTATTCTCCCTGGGTTGTAAAAACCCAGGTAATTTACCCTTGTCTGTGGATTCCCATCACTTAGGGCAAGAGGATTAGTAGAGTTCTCTTCCATGCTTAGGTAATAGTGTACCTGGATTGCTTGACATCCCAAGCATAGACCACAGGGGTCAACATTACCTGACTGTATACAAATACAAGTTCATGGGGCACTAGAGTGGAGGAGCCAGGTGACAGTGGTACTGGGTTGGGAGATATATTTTGTTCACCATGGCTACACGCACTACAGTGGTGAGTGGGGTTCCCAGAAGGTTATAACAATGGGGTGTGTGATCCCAGCACTCTCAGAGGCAGCAGGCAGAGGATGAAAAGTTTAAAGGCCCAGCTTGGGCAAATTGGTGATTTAGTGAATCCCTCTGTCAAAATAAAATAAAAATAGAGGAGATGTAGCTCAGTGCAGAGGCCCTGGGTTTAGTCCCCGGTAGTGCAGCACCCTGCACCCTGTCCTTGGTTTCTTTGTTCTTTGTAGTGGTAAGAGTATTCAGTGTGTTCAGTGTGTCTTTTGGGAACATTTAATTTTTACTTTGGTGCCGCAGATACAGCTCAGCAGCACAAGTGCATGCCTGACAAGCACAGGGTCCTGAGTTAGAGTCCCAGTACCAATTTTTTTTTTTTTAAACTTTGGTTAGGATTGAACCCAGGCCCTTGAGCAGGCTAAGCATACATTACACCACTGAGCTACACACCCAGCTCCTGGGTGAGTGGCTTGCAGCCTGCCTCCCTCCCTGCCTTCCTTCTTGCCTTCCTTCCTTCCTTTTAATTTTTTTAAGACAGCCTTTCACTATGCAGTTTAGGCTGGGCTTAACTCACTTTGCAGCCCAGGCTGGTCTAAACTTGTACCAGTCCTCCTGCCTCAGCCTCCTGCATGCCAGGATTACAGGCATGCACCACCACGCCTGGTTGTCCGGTGGGGTTTTTTTTAAGCTGTTTATTTGTACTAGCAAATTTACAGATCCAAAAAAACAATTATTTTGGAAATAGGCTTTATTTTGCTAATTGACTATAGAGTTAAGATGACATTAATCCACATAAGATGTGATGCATTAGGGAAAAATAGTACAATTAAATTAATCATAGCAAACATCAAGAAAAATGGGAAATGGAAAAAATACAGTGCATAGGAAGATTAGGGATGAGGTTAGAAGTAGACCAAATACTATTGAGACTTTTCTCATAAAAATCTCTTAGTAAATGCATTTAACTATGAATAATAAGCCTCTTTTTTGTTCTAGAAAGCTTCTGGGTTAAAAACTCATAATTTTAATCTTTCTTGTTAAAAAGAAAATCTTGAAGAATCCTTTTTCATAGGTCTTCATCCCCAGGTGGCCCAGAATGACTGCTGGAGCTCTAGCTATTATATTTATGGTTTATTTTTCTCTTTCTTTTCTCTCTCTCTCTCTCTCTCTCTCTCTCTCTCTCTCTCTCTCTCCCTCTCTCTCTCCCTCTCTCTCTCCCTCTCTCCCCCCCCTCTCCCTCTCTCTCTCTCCCCCAGTGCTCAGTTCTCTTGTAAGGGTCCTTTGTGTGTGTGCATTTACACAGTCACACACACACTCACACTTGTCTTCCACCTCTCCTCAATCGAATGGGGAAAAGACAATCATGTTTGAAGAACTTCCAACTTGTGCTGGGCGTGGTGGCGCATGCCTGTAATCCCAGCACTCGGGAGGCTGAGGCAGGAGGATTGTTGGTGAGTTTGAGACCAGCCTGGGCTACAAAGTGAGCTCAAGGCCCACCTGAACTGCACAGCGAGACACTGCCTCAAAAACACCAAAGAAAAAAAAAAAGAACTTCCAACTTATCATGAGTGAATTAGAATTTTTCACATGCTCTGTTTTAGAATTCTCCCCCCTACCTTTTTTCTTTTTCTTATTTATAATTCTTGATCGAAAGGAAATGAATAGTGTCAGACCACCAAGCTGGACAGCAGTGGATCAGGCTTCCGGTGTCTGGGGACTCGGCCACTCAGCCCACCATCCGTCCTTCGTGGTAATATCACTCTAGTTACCAAACCTGGCTTCCGCCTGTGGAGGGCACAGGTGGCGCTGTCCTCTGGCCGACCTGCAGGCCATCCTCAGGGTTAGCCCCTTCTTTCTGCAGGTGCGTAGGCTCCAGTATCCCGATGTACTGTAAATCCCTGGGAAGGGCAGTTGACTGGTCTGGTGAGGCTTCCTTGATTTCTGCTCTTGTGGCCCACTTCTGGGGCTGGAGGCACTAAGCTTAGCAGTTCTCTGCAGACCAGATGAATGAGCCAGAACATACCCTAAAAGTTGAAGAAAAAAAAAAAAGTTGACCAAATCTGGTGCTCTATTTAAGTCCTTACAAACTTTACGCCACCCTGTAAATGAGTATCAGTGACATTTTATAGTATATTATTTCTTAGTATTACTTGACTGTGTGCTTTAATTTGTACTTACCAGCTTTTATTTGTCTCTGAGGGTGGGCTTTTTTTTAAAAAAAAAAAAATTAATCGCTGGGGATTGAACCCAGGGCCTGGTACACAGGCTGTGCAAGTGCTTTACCACTGAGCTACACCTCAGCCTGTTAATTCAGGAATTCTTTCCTCTTTCTTTAACGAGGTTGTTCTCTGATTCCCTCGATAGTTAGAGGTGATATGTATCCCATTGAGATGCAGACGTTTTTGTCTTATTTTTGGGCCCTCTTGTATTTTTTTTTGAGATAGGGTCTCACTATGCAGTTCAGGCTGGCTGTGAACTTTCGGCATTCCTCTTGCCTCAGCTTCCCAAGTGCTGGGATTACAGGCATGTACCACCATGCCTGGACCTTTTGCACTGTTAATGACACCACTGATCATGGTTCTTTGATTGTATTGGAACCAGGAGTCTTGATAGTCTATGTTGCTGTCCTGTAACAATGTGGCAGCCCCATACTTCATGCAGCTGGTGTGATACTAACCTCAGCAAGACATCCTGTTTCGTCACACAGCTATTTTCTTCTGTCTTGATGTCCGCGAGATTAGTTTGTATGCTTGTCCGAAGCTTCAGATAAATCATTTTTGGATGCAAATGGTATTATTTAAGGCTGTTTTCCCATTGATTAGCTGGTTTTTTTTTTTTATCAGTATTAAATTGCATGTATCAGATGTACAAATGACTATGAATCAAGAGTTTCTGAATTATGACTGAGGTACTCACAGCTTGTCATAAGAATCTTAGTTGTGGAAAGAGACCCAGATGTAGATCCTTGAATTAATTCTAGATTGTCCTCTGAGAACAGTCTTACTGGGCTGAGGGACTGGTGTCTCCTCAACGAAAAAATCATGGAAGATATCTGCATTGCATCTTATGAGTACTTTAGGGCATTTAAAAAGTAATTGCTCATTTTTACTGCCTTTTTTTTCTTTTTTTTTTTGCGGTACCAGGGATCAAACTCACGACCTTGCGCTTGCCAGGCAGGCACTTATGTCACTGAGCTATATCCCCAGCCCCCTGCCTTTTTTCTTTTTGGGGGGAGTATTGCAACTCCAACCCTTGAATGCTCTATTACTTGGGGCTGCATCCTCAGCCCTTTTAATTTTTTATTTTGAGATAGGGTGGCATTGAACTTCCATTCCTCCTGCCTCAGTCTCTGGAGTAACTGGTATTACAGCCACTTGCCACCATGCCTCACTTAGTTTTTATTGCTTTTAAAAAACATTCCATTGCTTTCACACATGACTCTTTATTGAACGTGTAACATTTACAATCCATTTTTTTTTTTTTTCCTCTGGTACCGGGAACCGAACTCACAACCTTGCGCTTGCCAGGCAGGCGCTTTGCCGCTGAGCTAAATCCCCAGCCCCTCCATTTTTTTTTTTTTTTCCTTTGGTACCGAGAATCAAACTCAGGACCTTGTGCTTGCCAGGCAGGCACTTGTGCCACTGAGCTGTATCCCCGGCGAAAGCGTAACATTTAAGTCAAGTATATAATTATAAGATTTTATAAGGCTCACTAATTCCCTGGAGACACTTGTACATGGGACCAGAATATTATGCAAGAAAGCTTTGATTCTTTTCATCTTCCATCAAATTTAAGATATCATTCATTGTTACCAGTTTAAGTAGTCCAGTATCCAATCTGAGTTTGTGGGTAATATCTGTATTCTCTATTACCTTGTAACCTTGAGGGTCTTTAAGTACCCATTGACAAGCTACCACTGTTGTAGCAGATGTCACTAATTAGTATCTGTGTTCTTTCTCTTAACCAAGGTCTGGCCTGAGACTCCTCCATACTAAGCAGCCATCACTCAGCAGTTGGCTAGCAAGTACAATTCAACTTCCCAATTTGAGACCCCTCCTTCATATGTCTGACTGGCTCTGTTAATGTTCTAAAGGGTGATCAAATATTCTCCGGAGCACACACTCTTTAGGTGATTTGCTCTACCTAAGAAAATGTGCATTTTAATTTTGTAAATGTACTGTGCTCTTTTTGCCTGCTGTCATCTTCCCTCAGCCCATATTCCTTACTCATGTCACAGTATTTCCCGATGCCACCAGGCCTTAGAGATTGGGAAATAGTCCAACAAGTCCTGGTCTGCATGTTTTTGGAAGACCCAGTTGCTTCTACATATAGTGCTTTATGACTCCCATCTTGACAAATGATGAATTATCCTTGTATGCTTGGTGGTTACTCAGATTGGCAATTAAAGTTTTGAATCCCTTGTACCTGTCTAAAAAATGAAAGAGACAGTCTTGCCGTAGTTCTTGCTACAAACATCAGGGCCTTCGGGGACCTAAATGGAAATATAAAAGGAGTAAGGACAGTAAGGGCAGAGGTGCATAGGGCAGTCAGCCTACCCCCTATTCAGAGAGAGTAGTTGTTACTCTCTTTTTACCAGTCCTTGCCCTGTAGGAATACCAGCTTGTTAGGTTATTTCCACACTGGCTTTTTTTTTTTTTTTAAATGAAAATATCAGTTTGGGAAATAATAGGACATTGATATAAAGAAAAAGTAGTTTGCTACCTCTGCTTTTTATTGAGTGTTAAGGAATGTTACATTCATTGGTCAGATACTGAGTTTGTCATCCAGACCCAGAGGATTAGAGATGGTAAGTAGGACCCCAGTCATAAAAGGCAAAGCAAGTCGGAACTGTTGGAATGGAGGAGTATTCATTGAGCCGGGTCATGTGCGATTCCGTATTTACGTGAAACATAGCAGACATCTTTAACCATGGGGAATTAATTAGTGGTTGCCGTGAGGGACAGGGGAGCTGCGAGGTGAAATTATGGAATTTCATTTTGGAGCCATGGAAATATTCTGGAACTAGATAGTGATAACAGTAGTATGACACTGAGCATAGTAGTAAATTTTCTGTTGTGTGTTTCACCACCGTTTAGATTCAAAATGAAGAAATGTAAATTTGCCTAGGTACATGATCTTTCATCGATGACATAGTTAAGTGTATGGAGCAGAAACAGTGGACGTACCTGAGTTCAAGTATTTATCATCTGAGAATGATTAGTAAGAAATGTCTGACTGTGCCGGGTGCTAGGCTCTTTCCATGTTTTGCCTTGTATTTTTCCCTCACAGTGAGGACTAGGGACATGTCCAACGCCTTGAACTTAGTGGGAGCCTCAGTTATTTGAACCTTAGTTACCGCTGCCGAGGATTTACCCGGCAGCCTGCTTTGCCAAGCAGGCCCACATCCTTAGTTGTTCCAAGGCCACCAGGTCAGTGGTCATCATCACTACTTCCTCCTCTTGGGTCAGGTTCCATCCAGACACCTTGTATGCTTCCAGCTGAATCAGTTGCTTTAAAACTTGTCATTCCGTCAGCGCTCAGACTGTAATCCCAGATTTAATGCCTCAGTATCTCCAAGAAATCCTTGTGGCTTTTTAAGACTTGTCATGTAATATTAATGAAAACACTGGCCTTCTGTCTGGATTAATTTTTTATGAACAGTAATAATATGGCTAGTTAAACTGGCTGATTACTAGAGCTGTTGGTACAGGGTGTGAGTGTGGTGCTATGTACATTATCGTTGACCACAGGGGATGGGTCCTTAAGGTAGATAAGGTGATATTCCTGGTGTGTACCTGGTATTGCTTCAGGCGGGCATAAACTAGTAAATTACTGAGGACTCAGCAAGTATATGACAGATTAGCTACTGCCCTGTACCTGGATTTTTGTGAGGCAGGGAATAAGGCCAGAAAGTCTGGAAAGTTTCTTGTTTGCCCAGAGTTGCATATTTTACATCCGATCCTCTTTGTAGTTTTCGGCAGTCACCCAGCTACACGGGTTTCACTATGTCGGAGTAGTTCTTAATAGCCTGACATTCACTGTGTAGGTGCTATTTCTTATACAAAGAAACCTAGCCCTTGCCAGCAACTCCTTCAGTTACATGTCAAACAGTTGCCAGTCTCTCCCCAAGTGCTTGTTTTCTTTCCAAGGAAGTGGATCAGGTGGTCTGGGGCTGGCCTATTTTCAGGTGTCATAGAAGCAAATTTAACTGTACAATAAGTGAGTGTCTTTCTAATGCCTTAAAAATTGGTTTTTGATTTTCTTTCCCCCTAGCTGAGCATCGAACAGGCCCAGACAGTGGCAGAACAGGTGGAGATGAAGGCCAAGGTGGTACAGTCGGAGGTGAAAGCTGTCACAGCAAGGCATAAGAAGGCCTTGGAGGAGCGTGAGTGCGAGCTGCTGTGGAAGGTAACAGAGCACATGTATATTGCTGCCCAAGCTGTCCAGCTCGTTCTCTGTGCAATTCAGCTGAACTCTATCAGGATCCTAGTTTCAGATCCTGGACCCATGCTCTAAGTTTAGGGTGCTGGGAAATTTTCCAGAAAGATGCAAGGGGTTCCTGGAACATCGTGGGTGCTCTGTGCAGTGGGACAAGAAGTCTGTTCAGAAGCAGTTGGGCATGCAAGACTGAGGAGTCTCAAGCTTTATATTGTCCGTACTCTATAGGCGGCAGAGACAAGGGAGAACAGTTAAAGCTGTTGTTAGGAAAGGCAGGCTGGTGGGAAACATCCTTATTTTTGGGTCCTGGCTGGTTGCATTTCCTGACTCCTTGTGGAAAGCCAGCTCGGGGCACTGTGTATGTGCTCTTTCTTCCTGTTGGAGCAGGAAAGGGTGTTGAGCACACTGGTGTGCTGTTTAGATAAAATCAGTTGGGAAGACCACTCACCCCACGAAAGTCAGCATTTCAGCTTCTCCTTTTCTGATTTTATATTCCCCTCAGGAAGGAGATTAATCTCTCCTCATGGTTTGCTCTTCCAGAACAATGCTTTTACTATAACTACATTGTCTGAACACACAAATAAGGCTTGGAAGGTGGTTTTAAAGATTGTCCTTTTGCATTTGTGGGCTTGTTTTCATCTGAGTATTATATGATGATAGTGATGATTGATGTCTCAGTTCCTGAAAGTGCCCTTCACCAACTACTGTACCCCAAAATGTTCCATAAGGTCACATTGCACTTTGCATTGCACTTTCCACCCAGTTAGCTGCACAACTCTCCCTTCTTTCTGCCTCTTCTGATCTATTGTAGAATCCACATTAAGGGATATGGCTTATTTGCCTTTCAGCAAACACTGAGAGTGTGTGTATGTGTTTGTCTAAGGTGTGTTCTCAGCATATGTTTTGAGTGCCTTTGTGGCATGACAGAGTTTTCAGACACCCAGATGTCCCCGTGGGCCTGCCAGTCTCATGCCACCCACGAATGTTAATTATAACTGGAGGGGCCTGCTCCTTGCAACCTGAGAGCTTTGTAGTGAACTCTGCCACAAACTCGCTCTTCTGCATTTCCTGATGAAAAAGGCCTTTGTGTGTGGGGTTTCTGTCGCTCTCACCTTAGCTGCACTCTTCCTGTGAGGCTGACCCACTGTCTGTCTAAGGCGGTTCTCTCCAGGGGAAATGGAAATCAGGTCTGCAGTAGACACACTTGGATTAAAAGCCAGCCTTTTGTGAATATAAGAAACGGCTTCTGCTTGCCTAAAAAATCAGTCTCAAGAGATAATACCAAAAGAAGCTTGTTTGTCCTACACACACACACAACCCTGTTGTTTATCTTCACTTTTTGCTTTGGCTTCTTACCCCTAACCTGTGAGAATCCCCCTCTGACTACTTACTGGTTTTCTCTTCTTTGCCAAAAAACCCTTTTTACTTGTGTCTGTCTGGGTATTTCTTTGTTACATTTCATTTTCTTGAATCTCGGGATTGAACCATAAGAGACAGGTATATAAAGATTAAGCCTTAATTTGCTGGGTGACTCAGCTTTACATCTCTGGCCATACTCTTCCCTCCTTCCCTCCTTCCCTCCTTCCCTCCTTCC